ATAAGCTTCAGTATCTAATGTTCAAGGCTTGTCTATCAAGTTAATTTCTACCCATCATTCACACAACCATATCGCTCCTCCGCTCAAGTTCTGAACACTGAACAAACCATAAGTACTTAATCTTACACTAACCAGCGAGGTTTTAATGATCGGCGGGTTATTTCCAAGTAATGCTTTAGATGGCAAGACCGATACAGTTTTATTGTGAAATCACATTTCCACTGTGACTAATCAGGTGCATTTTGTACCAAGCATGCTCATCTGACGCTTTATTAGGGAAAGGAGTTCGGTATTTCTGACCATCTGCACCGTAGTAAGTGCATGAAAAACATTAGTAAGCAAGTTCAGTGCAATGATTGATAAAACGTTTGGGCCGAAGTTTTTCGTTACCCATCAAAACTGTGAGTTTGAGAACAGAAGGCGGAAGCAGATTGCCTTGAATGATTTGGTACGACGTGTTCACTAGTACTCTGTAAGCAAGCCCGGACGACATACGCGATTTTTATCACGACCATGATTAAGAGTGGAGTAAAACACCGACAGGACATTGTGACAAGACTTTGATTTCAAGCTAATCTACTTTACAGACCTAACTAACGCTGTATGGTTCGGTTATGAATTCCTGCCTTACCTACTGACGCAAACCGCACAGGACGATTCTAACGCTCGTGAATAATAATTCACTAGTACCAACTTGAGAATACGGTCATTTAGCAACCTTCTATTCAGATCATGACAATATTAGCATTTGGTCGAGTATGTAAAACCGCGACGGAAGCTTTGAAACGGATAATTTTCTTTCGCTTATAGTGCTCTCCTTTTGCATACGGAATTCGTTCATGGTGGTTGAAGGTGACCGCCGCGAACTTACCTAAACCATTATTCAAGTTCTTCCAACGGTGTTAGAATGATATGCAATTTATTGCCATGTGGAGGGAAGAGATCTTTGCTTCCATTTATGTGTAACAATCGTGCAGAACCTGCTAAATACTGCCCGATAACGCTGTTTGCAGTGATCTCCAGAGTCGAGCAGCCTATTGACATCAAGGTCTTTATGGTGCACTTCTAGAGTGTTGATGTCTTTATTCCGAAGTTGCTCTGGGTTTGTCACAGTCGGTGATGAGCTAAAAACTTACTGGTGACCCTTGCACGTCAGACGGCGACCACCGATGCCGCAGTAGGAGTTGATACGGTCCACTTGGACTTTCCTTGACAGATGACTATCCAAGGTCGCCTTATACTTCCAGTATTCAGAACTATGGAATCAAAGATCCATTTTTGGATCGCATAAGTAACCGTCTTCCCCCACAGCGTTATTTTATGTGAGGGCTCGAAGCACCATGTTCGCTCGAATCGAATTTCAGTAACTAACCACACTGAACGACTCCTATTCCTGATTTTCGGAAACCATTTCACAAATGTTACCCATTGAATACTTGTACTCTGGCCTGAGGATCTCTCGACATGGCTAGTTAGTATTACAGTGGAATATTACTCAGCAATTCAAAGTGATCTCGGTAGAGTTTACACGCGGTTGATCTAAAACGTTCTAGTTCAACGCGAAAGGGTAAAAATTTTGAAAATGCGCCGTCAAAACACCGGCGACTAAGATTTGGGGCCATAAATTCGCCTTACTCATATTCCATAAGAACCATCTTGCAGTGATCCTGTATGATAACCACATCTTTTGATGCAAGCTGAAGGAGCATCGATTAAGACAAATCAGTACTTTGGTCTCTGCAAACAGTGTTCGGGATTATTGAGACGTCAGTAGTTCCCCAAACGCTTGGCGCTTTTGGAAAAGCAGGCGTTAAATGCGCCGATAAGGTCTGGTAGCTTAAGCAGATTTGTAGCCTTGTCGTATCAAACGCTGGCTCATTTTGCACAAAAGAAATGGTCATTGTTGTTGCGAATATTGGTTAGTGAGTGTTATGACTGGCTACTTGGTGTCCCAGTAATGAGGCATCAGCTACCTAGTGATTCCAAGTAATCCCTGCCCACACCAACACAAGACAAATTACAAAAGCAGTGTAACGACCTCATGCAATGGTTTGAATGCGTAGGTTCCGTTCCCAACCCTCCGAACATCAAATTAAGTTGAGTATGTCCGTTTTTACTAGCACAACATCACAACAGTTTAGATTATGAGCATGATCGCTTTGCTTTTGTACTTACCAAACTGTCCACCGTCATAGGTACAGTTTTACTTTGGTCTTTGTCTGAAATAGGACATTATATCAGTGTTCATTTGCTCCAATCTTAGCCCCTTTGAGGGGGCTAATCACTGGATCTTCCGGATCGCATGCCTGCTCACTACAGTACGCACTGACTCATTGGGCATGCAACTGTGTTATATATGCATCGACAGTATCTCACTGGCCTGTTTAACGCACTGTGCTGCTTATCAGTATCTTCTTAAACACTTGATTAACAGACCTCAACGGCATGATATTTCTGTGTGGTTGATAATGACTGGTCGATGTTGCCAAAGCGTTGGTGACGAAATGTTTATGATGGTACTAAACGTATCATTTGAGAAAATATTCTGAGCAATCTGTGCACGGATCGAGTTCGGAAACTCGTTTTAAGTGTGGGTTTTACACAAGATCAAAGCTCCTTAGGTGCAGCAACCAACGAATACATCTATTACACACTACTAAAGAATGTAGAAAAGGTATTTATAGTGTGTAATCTGAAGACAATTCACCTGCGTTATCACATCTTGGCTTTTACCAATTTGGTGACTAGGAGAGGCTACCGTACTCGTTTTTTAGTTGGGAAATGCTCGACCATACTGTGCTCAGTCTGGGAATTGCCTACCCCCTCTCATTTCGCAGCCTGACAATTCGCAATGGGCAACTAAGTTCATCTGAGCCAGAGCAAGGTCTACTTGACTTGTACGGTTTCTCTCTGGGTGGGTAAACCTGAGTGGCTAAACGGACCACAGACGGAACTAGTCTGTAAATGCTTTAGAAGTTATTATTTCTTGCTGCAGGGAAGTTATTAAATAAGGCAAGCCTGTTATGTAGGCTTAAGTAGCTAAACTGTTATTCACAACGTTTCAGACACATTAACCACTAAGTAGCTAACATGTGGCAGGCTGAGAACCACATAACCAGATTAAAGTCATTAAACAATCGATAGAATACTCCGAATTTATCCACAATACTGGCTCATTTCGTGAATCACTCCCGTCTGCGCATGGATAATCGCATTCAGTACTCAGTGGAATTTATCAGCCAAAGGCTTCCTTAGAATACGATGCGTAACAAGTTACTCGCTGTCTAAACACATGAATTTTGCTTTAATGCACAGAGAACAATAACTTTACAACCACATCAATTGGCAAGTAACTAGGTTCCGCCAGGAACTACAGCTGCTTGTAACCACCACAATGCAAACCTCACGAAGACCGACTTTAATATCAGTCTGTATTTTAGGTTATTCGAACAATTGTTACTTCCTTGAATGATAAAAATGTACAAATGTAATACTTATATTTTTAGAATACTAGTAGATGGTTTATGTGTGGACGCAAATCCGGTCAACAAGTGATCTTGCCTGGCTAGAGCTTTCCACAATCTGATGAATTTGTGTACTGGAAGAAGAATTACGGAAATGTTATTACTGTGCCGGTAACTGAAGATAGACATAAACTTATGAATACACCGACGAGCAAAGTGATCGACACCATTACAGATGATCTGAATTTGGGATTGGATGTTATAACGTGCAGTTCGATGACGTCTTGAAATCAGCCATTTTACCCCACAGACCATGTGCTTTCAACGAATCTTACCGGCTTGCAGTCATCAGATCTGCTACGAGAAACAATGGATACACCATGATTTATGGTCACAATTTGGTGTGGCACTGTGAAAATTCCTCTCAACAATCCAATTAGTTGATGTTGAGAGTAGTGGTTAAGACTAATACACCATACAGTACGTCATGAATTATCGAGTGAAGCTTGTTTGTTTAAAGAATATGAAGTTGCCTTTGAATAGTTATTGCAATGTACTGACGAAGTGCTTAAGGTGATGAAATTCAGAATGTAAGATACAGAAGATATGTGTGATTTCTACTTGAGTCAATTGGCATAGGTAACTGAAAGCATGGTTAGTTTAAATACGGATTTTTTTAATTTTCCAACCTAGTTTGCTTTCCTGAGTAACACTTTGGATACATGGCAGGCGGAAAAGGAAAAGTCAGATACAAGCACTATCCGCGAAATGACAAAGAATTTTAAAACTCGGATGGTTGCCACCTCCCACTATCACGTGCCACAGCCAGTTTTCAGTGAATAACTATTACATAGATATGTTTCGCTCCAATTCGGCTTTATCCAATCTGATCTAATAGTCAGTGCTTTTGTGAAACGATGCACATACAGTGCCAAAAGAAGACATTTATGTCCGGAAATAATGACGCTAGTATAAATTTCTAACCGAACACGGATAAACGATTAACGGACCATACACAACTGTTGATAATTCACAAGTAAATTTTGATTTTTCGTAAATCGATAGAGTTGTACAGAAACCTTTCTACTTGCTCTTAAATACAGTCTCAGTCTCAGTCTCTAATCAAGCACTTGTAGGCATATCATGAAACAATGCATAGGAATGCGTGCAAATTGAACGATGGTCAGGAGTCACCATGAAGTGATCTTGCTAACATACATGCGACGTTTAGGTTGAAGAGTGCATTATTAGGTGAAGACGGAAGTTTAACGACAAGCTAGATAACCTTGTAATGGATGGAATACCAGACGGGTTCATGGGTACGCTAAGTTGTCGATGATACTTTGATCAACACAATGTGGTGAATATCAACAATGGAAACTAGGGCGAGTCACATTGAGAGCAATGGTGCGCTAGCGAATCCGTGAATTTTACAACTACCAGACTATCGATACGAGTAATACTCTGTGACTGAAGGACCAAGAACAATAAATGTTTAACCTCAATTCTGCGTAAAAGTGGTTCCATCAGACTCACCTGCATGAATACAGATAACGCAGCAAGTCCGTGTGGCCGAGATACCGCGGAGGAGAAGTTGGAATAGAGTACAAAATTGAAAGCGTAAAACTGAAACTAAAACAATGATGCTAAATGTTTCAACTTGCTAATATGCTGGTGACTATAAGAATTAAGCAGGATTATCAGCTGATAAACTTGCAATTACATCGCAGATAAGGGCCAATAGTGTACATCAAGCAAAACATTATTAATCAACGTAAACAATTGCTTTTTCTATGTGTACAATGTTAAACCCAAAATACCACAGACTTTGAGAGGCCGGCTGTGGGCAAGACTACGGCATCAATGAACTGTACCTATTTTTTATAGATAAATATAATAGTTGTCAGTTATAAGCTGTAACAGTGCTTCGCTGCCGCGCCACCATCGCCAGTCGCTCGTGAACTAAGTATACCGCGATGACGCCCGCCCCTACACGACTTCGAACCGGTGACCTTATGACTGCAAGCCAGGCGTGCAGGCTACTCTGCGGCCGACAGCTCTTTGTAGTTACTTAACACCGTTCATGCTGCCAGTTTACTGGTGACCAACAAGCAAGGCGATGTACTATGAAGTTCTTGGGGAACAACAGAGGTTTTATGCTGGTGGTTAGTTTGGATAAAACGAAAGCAAATCAGAATACTGGGCGGAGCAATACCACCACAAAACATAAAACATAAAGGGGCAAATTTGTCTCCTGAATTCATGATATAATGAAGAGAGTAAGAGCAGATTTTTATTCCCTCTGCTCAATGGTTGGTGTATTTTCCCCACGGATCACAGTCAGATACACAGTTGGAGAAATATCACCGCATCTCCAGAACCACAACACAAAGTGGTGGAAGCATATCGTGTTGGTTAAGTCAACTCCACTTCTTCACCCCTGAAAATAAGTACACTTCGTCAAGTCAAGTCGGAAAAGGTTTTATGCACCCAGATCGGTGCCTTTTTAGCATTTTGCACTATTTCACACAAATGTGAGAAAAACAGCACCAGTAATTTAGACAAATTTAAAAGCAGAATGCGTAAATTGCACAGATGTCACGTAAGTTATCAATCCCGCATCCATGAGCAACGACCGCATATTGATAGAAAGAACTATCTGATTCTTCAGCCAGCTGATGGAGCCAACATATCATTTGGATAAATGAAGAAAACTTCGAGTTATGCACCATGTCTCGGATACTTCTTCAGAGCGTTGGTGGAGCTGAGCGGATTCAATGATCAAGAAAGTGTTCAGCCAAAGAATTCGTTAAAATATTCAAAAAAATTGTTACGTTTGCAGTAACTAGCGCAGAAAACATGTTTTGGGAGAGTGGCAACGGCAAATTCAGAAGTCTCGCCTTTGACCGATTAAAAAAATGAACTTGTACATTAGTTCAAACTAAAAAAGGTGCTCCGCATATAGTGTTTGCAAGGGACCTCTGCTGTACAGTTGCGCTTTTCTGTAGAGAAATTTGACAGGTCTGCACGGTCAAATGCGACATCAATCTTCCACCCCGTTTGTACTTCTATTGTGTGGCTTATGCTCTACACCGTTACAACATACCGTCGCTGTGTGCGTAATTCACACCATATAACGCGCATAAAATTGTCGTCGTCGTAATCCTTATACACGTAAGCTAGCGCTGGAAATCCACTCAGCTATTCTGCCGAAATACAAAAGAACAGAAAAAGCACAACCGTGGCACGCCGGCAGAGCCACCAGTAACGGTTGGACATCGTTCCGGAAAGTTAACAACTGGCTGTTGTGCAGCAAAACAAGTAACATTATGCCTAGGAAATGAGATCGTGTTTGGAGGGGGTTGCTAAGTCCCTGAGGTCCGCTTCTAGCCATGTCAACAAGTATATCAGCCAAACGAGTTCATCGTCTTTCGAACCCCAACCAGGGAGCCGAAATGCTCCAACCGAGGCCAACTTCGAAGTAAGGGACTTCATTCCTCTTGACCATGTCATCGCATGGCCACGTCTCTTCTTCTTCCATCAGCACCCCGGCGAGCAAACAGCGCACGTCAAGGTAGTCGGTGGGTTGGCATCCGCAAATAATGACCACGCCATTTGAGCCTGATGCGTTAAAAATGGTTCTAAGCGGTTTGCTTCTTCTTGCTGGACCATAAACAAGATATGGAGCACGCTCATCGTTCACACGGTGTTCCCATCAGAGATGAGCCAAACTGTGAAGGCACCGGTTGTCGAACGTAACTAGCCTCTTTACGTCTGCGGATTTAATGGGCCAGGTTTCACTACCATACATCAGAGTCGAACGTACGGCTGCATTGTACACCCTACCCTACAGAGAGAGAGAGAGAGTGGTGTTGCGCCGGAACCGTAAGTGATGAAGGTTGACAAAAGCGCCTCGTGCTTTTTATATGCAGTTTGCCTAAACGATATGCACAAGCAGAAAACAAGACCGCGTCAAAACACACCAGCTTTCATGGGAAAACCAAAGACGTTGACACTTCGAATTGCAGGAAAGCATGTGTGAACGATTCAGGCGGACAACACGTTACTCGGCAAGTCCTGTTTTTGGTTTCGCTTTTCATAGCCGTCATACCATTTCTTCTGCAAACCCTCACTCAGCATCCCTACAGGACACCTTAAGCCGCTGTATTTATCTGCAATCTCCCATTGACCAATGACCAGTACGCTTTCATAAGATGTAATCCACTTGATCCACTGGGAATAATTGAACGCAATGACGACCATACTCCGTGCAGTCATAGTATATTTTGTCCTCTACATTTGCGCCCTCCAATATTTTCCATAAACTCGATTACTGACATTCATTCTATCAAGCTCGGCGTGCTGTGAAACCAATATTTTGCACATATTTTCTGCGGAGTACGACAAATAAAGTATTAAATTTGATGGATTCCTAGTCACAAGTCACCCAAACAAGCCAATTGCTTTTTCGATCTTATAAGACTAATTTTAGTCTAAGATAAAAGGCAATTTCAAGCTCTACGCATTCAAATCAGACTCGACCCAGTTGGATGTTGCAAAAGCCAACTACTATTGAAAGTGCTTCAAAGTGCGTCGACCTTATCGCTGTATTCGACCGGCTTAGAGACCAGAGTCGAATCGCTTACGAACCGCTTGAAGTCCGCCATGGCCCTGACTTGAGCGATAACCCATGAGTTTAACGTAGGAACTCAACCTTGACCTTTACCCCTTGCGTGCAATTGATGTAACTAGGTTTAGCCCACCTGTCTCGCGATGATAGCTTCAAACGCCAGTCATTGTTTTGGGTCCCCAGGCTGAAGCTGCCTTGATCGATTGGATCTCGGTCAACAATCGGAGGTGCATCGTTAGATTAGCTCGTTCGTTCCATGCTACGAACTCGCGCGGGGAACAAACGGTGCCTGTTTGTCACTGCGGGTTACGCCCATACAAACTGTTACTCTGATTTGGTGAAAGATGATTTATATCAGCAACTTAACGATCTTTGTTTACAGAAGTAGCACGGATACTGTGGTGTTGTCTGACGATCTTAACGGCCAAGTCGGAAATCCTCCTCTGATCAGCTTCACCTGGGCGGCCAACATGGTGTAGGCTCCCGAACTGATAACAGAGCGATTGCTACAGCTGTAGAAAGATTCTCGTCACTTTCTCGCGAGCACAAACTTTTGACAAGGCACTCGCGGAAACGTGAGTTGGCATCCACCAGCCTCGCACCAGCCATGAACGCAAACTGATCATATCGCGATCAGTTACTGCTGGAGAGGCTATATCCAAAACTGTCGCTCAATTTGGAGCACGAGCGTGGACTTTGATCATGCACTTATTTGCGCCGACCTCCGGGTGCTTTTCGATGGACGTCCGCAACTGCCAGTTGAACGGATTGACACTAGCCAGCTGGCGAAGCTAAATGTTCTCAATGTGTATCACAGTGTGCTGACATCGGGGCTGAATAAGCGCCAACTGAACACCGTCGGAAACGCATATTCGCCAACTGTTACTATCAGCAGCCATGCCTTCATGTAGCAAATTAAATTGCCAAACTGGACACTGGGTCTCTACACAGTCTCTGGAACTTATGTATGCTAGCCGACGTAGTGAATACAATGAGGCTCGTAAAAATCTCAGGGTGAAACTTTGTGCTAGCCTGAAGAAAGACTGCGAAGACTGGTGGTCTCATCGTACCTCGGAGATGACACCAGCCACTGAGGTTGGTGATCATCATTAGTTATTCCGTCTGATACGGGAAACAGACAGCAGGAGATCTAGTGTTAGCGAGAGCATAGGCAGCGAAGCATCAGTTCAGGTGGTTGATGTACTGTTATTGTTATTGCTTTTGGTTTGTTGGTGTTAACGAGACCATACGCCACGAGAGTAGGCAGCCGATCTACAGCCATTCAAAACGCTTGGAGCGTTCGGCCGAATACCTTACAAGGAAACTTAACCAACCTGAGTTATCGCTTTCTTTTTCGGACCCAATAGTATTACCTGAACAGACAAGGATCTCTACCCTTTATCTGTCGATTGCATCCATAGCGCTGTTAAATTAGTGCTTAATGAAATTGTATTCCACCATAGATCTAGCAATATGGACCTTAACGCCATTAAATTGAATCCAATTAACCCAATCAGTCCCAAAGCATGTGTATGTTCGTGGAGTGACCAATACCATAGCAGCAGATAATATAACAGATGAGTAAACAGAGTGGGATTTTCCAGGGTGATTTGGGATTGGTCACTAAATGAATAGCTACGTTTAGGGGAGTTCGCGCCCCTTGAATGCAATTTGGAAGCGTTAAGGTCCTTATTGAGAGATCGATGGGGAACATGTTTTCGTTAGTGAAGAATTTAAGAACGCTATAGTTGCATCTGAATCGGAAAAGGTATAGCCTCTAGTTCACTAGTTGCTTAATAAATTGTTCTATCTCACTCTATTCATGACGGTCAGCTTATAGGTTGGAGTAGAGTTAAATTACCGATTGCGAGTAGCCTTCGTGTCTGTGTTCACAAATTGGTTTTACCCACGTTCACGTGAAATGTTTTCTCCCTAGTAGCCTGCTATGATTGATAAAAATATCAACATCTCTTTATAAAGAAAAATACGCACTCCATGAGAA